AGGCACTGCTCTAGGCATTGTGAGTAGAACGCAGAATCCCTGCCTTTAGGTGTGACAAACATGGAATTCAGAGTTATATGGGTGTTCAGGGGTTGAAGGGAGAGTGGGGGGGGGGGGGGGTTAAAGGGAAAGAAGAATGAAGAATCCCAAATAGAAGGCAGAGTTTGGGGTGATGAAAGTCGATGGGGTGTACACCATCCAGACAGGAAAACTAGGAAGTTTCTGAATCTGATGAGTTTTGGAGAAACAACAAATCAGAAATGGCAACAGGTCCTGCTCTGCTCTCTACTTTTGGCCCCTGTTAAGATCGCTACCCTTCCCAGACCTCATCCCAGTCACCAAAATAGGACGGGGAAAAATAAAGGAAACCCATCTGACTTTTCAATCTGTCTCTATTTCTGGCCATTTCGCTCAAACCTAAGCCTCATAAATAGAGCAGACAATTGGAATGGGGCCTTAGGGACAGGTAGGAGTGAAGTGGACTGGAAACAGGCAGAGGACACTGCCCTGTGGCATCCACTCGGCCCCTGGGTTTTGTTTCTCAGTCTATTTCCTGTCTCCAAGCCGAAAACTCTCCGTTCTTTCCAATTCCTAATAAACACTGAGGAACAATCTAGCAAACATAGCCTTCTGATATTGCACGTTTTACCACTGAGGTAGAACCCATCCACAGAGAAGTGCACAGATCATATGCATATGAAGTGTTGATATATGCGTACGCCTGAGATGGCACCACTCTATTCAAGGTGAGGACAGTATCCACACCCCGAAAGCTCTCTCAACCCTCGCCAGAGGACACCCCTACAGTGGGGCAACCTCTATTCTGATTCCTGTCACCACAGATTAAGTTTGTCAGCTCCCAAACTTCATGCAAATGGAATTCTAACATATAGGAAGGGACTTCAAAAACGTATGTGGAAAATGGACTTAAAAGATAAGTCATGGCTCACTTTGTTAATCCTCCGCCTGTGGCGCCAGCATCCCATATGGGTGCCGGGTTCTAGTCCCGGTTGCTCCTCTTCCGCTCCAGCACTCTGCTGTGGCCCGGAAGGGCAGTGGAAGATGGCCCAAGTGCTTGGGCCCCTGCACCCGCATGGGAGACCAGGAAGAAGCACCTGGCTCCTGGCCTTGGATCGGTGCAGCGCCAGCCATGGCGGCCATTTGGGGGGTGAACCAATGGACAGAAGACCTTTCTCTCTGTCTCTACCTCTCATTGTCTATAAGTCTTGTCAAATAAATAAAAAAAAAAAAAAGGTAAGTCTATTTTTGTGCAAAAAATTTTAAATCAGGGGCAGTTGTGGCCTTGGATGCCCACATCCTATATTGGAGTGACGGTTTGAGCCTCAGCTGCTCTGCTTTCAATCCAGTTGTTTGCTAACGCACCTGGCAATGCAGCAACTGAGAACTCAGTGTCTGAGTCCCTGCCACCCATGTGAGAGACATGAATGCAGTTCCTGGCTTCAGCCTAGACCAGCCCCAGCTTTTCTGGTTATTTAGGAAGTGAACCAGTGGATGGGAGATAGTCTCTCTCTCTCTCTCTCTGTCTGTGTGTGTGTGTGTGTGTGTGTGTTTGCTTGTGTGTATGTCTCCCTCTCTCTGTGTCAGTCTGCATTTCAAATAAATACATAAAATAATTTTGGAAATCCATGCATACTTTCCTCATAACAAGCACTTCACATGGACTTTTTGGAGATCCATCACATGCAAGAATTTCCAAACTTTTTGCACCAAAAGAAACCAACCTTTTAATTCCATTGCCATTAATTGTTTCAGGTCCCTTCATTATATTCTTTAGGGTCTGACTTTTCTCCCTCCACATATTTTTGAGATCCATCTATGATTCATTTGTCCATGGATTGTCTCACTTTATTTCTAGGTAATAGTCCATTTTTAGGGCCAGCAATTGCTTTTGGATAGACATTTGGCTTGTTTCCTTTTTCTTTCTATTATGGATAAAGCTACTATGAATATTATTTTTCTAGTCTTTTTATGTTTTTCTTTCTCTTGGGTGAATTCCTAGCAATGGAAAAACTGGGTCCTGAAGCAACTGTAGGTTTAACCTTGTAAGAAACTGCCATATTGTTTTCTAAAGTGGTGTCATCATTTCATATCCCACCAACGAGTTTTGGATATCTTTGCCAGGCATCTGGTGCTGCCAGATTTTCCAACTCCAGCTGTGTTTCTGGGCATAGAATGTATCTCATTGCATGTTTAATTTGCATTTCTCTGTGATTTTCATGTATTTGTCAATCATGACTAACTTCTTTAGTGAAGTACCTATTCAAGTCTTTTGCGCCATTTAATGCCCTATTTTTCATATATTTGGAACATATTTTTATATAAACTCTTTGTCAGAAGTGCATATTATAAATATTTTTCTTCAGATTCTTATCTTGCATTTTGATCATCTTAATGGCCTTTTCTGATAAGCAGGTTTAAACTTTTTTTAAAGATTTATTTATTTATTTGAAAGTCAGAATTACACAGAGAGAGAAGGAGAGGGGGGGAGAGAGAGAGAGATAAGAGAGAGAGAGAAAAAGAGAAAGAGAAGCCTTCCATCCGCTGGTTCAGTCTCCAATTAGTTGTAATGGCTGGAGCTGAGCCCATCCGAAACCAGGAGCCAGGAGCTTTTTCTGGGTCTCCCATGTGGGTGTAGGGGCCTAAGCACTTGGGCCATCTTCCACTGCTTTCCCAGGCCATAGCAGAGAGCTAGATTGGAAGTAGAGCAGCCAGGACTCGAACTGGAGCCAATATGGGATGCCAGCACTGCAGGTGGTGGCTTTAACCGCTACGCCACAGAGCCAGCCCCAGCAGGTTTAATTTTGATGAAATATTGAGCCCATTTTGCATTTCTGGGATCAACCCTGTTTTCTCATAATGTTTCACCCTTTGTATATCACCAGATTCCATTTTCTAATACATTTTTCAGAACTATTCCATTTATGTCCCTCAAAAGTATTGATATATCATTTTCTATTCTCCAGAAATAGAATCCTTAATTGTAGACTATATTTGTGGGGTATCTGAAAGTTATTACTGATGAAATTTTAACAAAAATTGCTTAAATTGAATCATTTGGAAACTCAATGTGCTAACATCTGTCTTCGTGTAAGAAACATTTCGTATTCCCAAAAACTTAGATGATCAAAAACTAACAGCATGGTGTTACCTTTTATAAAGAAAATCAAGAAACTTTCCCACAATTCCAGGTCTCAGAGACAGGTCTACAAGTATGTTCATTTCTGCTCAGTCTTCAAATGTGACATAATTTCAATTGCTCTATATACCATTAAGAAATGCCTACTTCTCCTCTGGAAAAAGTCAATCTTTGTAAACAGTATGTGTGTCCCCTTCTATGGAAATGACTCCTTGGAGACTACTCATCTCATTTTGCCCTGTATGCTGGTGAATTCTAGAGGTAGGCCAAGATGAGGGAAAGCATTTCAAAAATTCCATCTTTCCAGGATTTTTTCCTAATTTATTTTATTAATTTGAAGAGCAGGATGACAGAGAAAGAGAGAGAGGGAGAGACAGAGAGAGAAAGAGAACTTCCATTCACCTATGTGAATGGTTCACTCCCTGAATGCCTTCAGTGACAAGGGCTAGGCCAGGTTGAAGTCAGGAGCCTGGAACTCCATCTGAAGTCTCCCAAATAGGTGGCAAGTGCTCAAGTAAGTACTTGGGCCATTATCTATTGCCTTCTCAAGGTGGACTAGCAGGGAGCTAGATCAGAAACAGAGCAGCCGGGAGTAAGGCATTCTGATGTGGGATGATTGCCAGTGGCTGCATAATCTGCTGTGCCACAATGCCAGCCTCTCTTCAAGCGTTTCTCTTTGGCTCTGTCCTAAGAGAGCTGCTTTGTGGGATGAGAGGATGGTTCCTGCCAACAGGCACACTCAGCCAGCAGACTTGCACTGACTTTAAGAGGACATCCTGGGTGTGTGTATAGTCACACAACCTTACCAAAGTACTTTCAGGAAGTAGTTTCTCCCCCCCACAATGAATTCTGTTTCCTAATGTGACGCAGCAAGTGAAGGATATTTCAGGTGGGCATAGGAATACAATAGAAAAGGAAAGCACCAAGCACGACCAGAATTGAGGAATCAGGGGTGGAGCTACATACATTTTCCCCTAGAAGTTAATTAAAGAGGATTGATCATGGGTCTCACCAATGGATATGATGGCTGCCACTAAGGGAGAAATGAAGGCTGATGGGTTCTAAGAAGCATTTCCCAGGGATCAGCTCCTGAAGGGATGAATCGGGATTCCAGCAGATGGAACTCGAACTTGAACGTCTTTCTCCTTCGCCACCTTGCTGTTCAGTGTGCGCTTGGGACTAAGCCACGGTCAACCGTTTTTGGACGCACCAACCGCATCACCAGCATTCACCAGACAGTGGCTCAGGAGCCATGTGGTGTCCCAGCCTGGGCTTGTTTCCATTACATCTCTCTGTGACTGTTGGGGGAGGTAGTGCAGAGTTAGCAGGGGGACAACGGTGCACTTTTTCTGGTTTGATTGCATTGTGAGTGCTAGAGCTGAGCCCATACAGGAGTTCAGCATAAAAGCTTGGCAGTGTGAAGTAGTTTGCAGAACATGTATGAACAAGGGGCAGGTTCTCTGGGGTCTGTTAACACATTTTGACAGAAATGTGGAATTATTTTGGTCATAATAGAAGGGTATTTTTTTTTGCCAGTATTGCTTTGTCTCAGGAATGGAAAATAGAAAGCCAAGAAGATGACTGCAGAATCCACTTGGCCTCTCTCTAACCAGGGAGCAGTCATTCCCAAGATAAGTGTTCTCTGGTTATGAGCAGGTGGAGAGACGGAGCCCTTCCAGGTACATGCAGTGTCAGGAACAGCAGTGACCCCCTGCTAGCCCTGGTCTTGCCTTTCCTCATAGGGAGCACTGGCCACACTGGAGGTGTGAGAGCCTCAGGAGGGCCCTTACAGCTGACGCAGCTCTGTAGCCACTAATGTCACAGTGATCTCATTCATTCATTCATTCATTCATTCATTTTGAAGTCTGTACTGAGCACAGTGCTAGGTGCTAGAGATACAATAGTGAGCAAACCACCCCAGCTGTCTGGAATGTACCCTCTAGGAAAACAACAATCTTGACTAACATAAAACGGGTGTGAGTACAAACCGTCATCAGTGCTAGGAGGAAGAGCAGAGTGCCCTGTGAATGCAAAGCAGGAGCTGCCAGGCAAGGCTACAGGATCAGAGCAGAGAAATGCTGGAGGGCGACCGCAGCCGTGACTGGGTAGAGGGCTCGCGGGAGCGGAAGGCGTGAGCAGCGACTCTGTGGCTTTGGCATGCACTGGAGAAGGACGATGCTCACTAGGATGCCATGGCCTGGCAACAGCCAGTCGAAGACTTTATGAAGGGAATGGAGGTACCACTATATGGCCATTGCTGCTTTCATTCACTTGGGAAATAATTAGTTCAGGTGAGGAAGGCACCAAGCGCTTTGTCAAACCTCTTCTCTTCACATTCCAGAAGCCCCTTTATTCTAAATCTTTAGCATATAAAAATGCCAGGTAGGCAATTTAATTGCCAGTTTCTCTCTCTCTCTCTCTCTCTCTCTCTCTCTCTTTCTTGTCATAACACGGCCCAGTCTCAATCAATGCAGAGAAGCGGTCTCTTCTGTGATAGACCCACTGTTTGTTTGATTTTCAGCTTCCTTTCATTGGAAATGTTTTGTGCTTAGTTTTAACGTCAAAAAGCAGCTGTTGGGCAAATGTGTGACTGAGATGGCTGGGCATATTTCATGAGTTATAGATGCTCATTGTGTTTCTTGCCCAGTGAGAGAGGTGGTGAAATTCCAGACCCTTGAAAATCACTTGGTAAGCAGAATGTTTTTTCCTTCTTCAAAAATATCCCTTAGCTGTTTATTCTAGCATAAAAACTTTCCTATGTTATCAAATAAACACCATAAAATAATTTTCGTTGAGAACAGAAAATTTTGTGCTTAGGCTCATCCCCACCAGTAACTGTATTTACTCATTCAATAAATACTCCTTAAGTGGCCTCTGTCTGAAAGCCACTCACTCTTTGGTCACCTAGCTAGATGCCTGTCTTTTATTGCCTTCAATTTACAAATGTAATTAGAAATATTTTTTCTTCGTAATTGTATGTACATATCTAAAACATATAACGAGATCTATAGAGTTCATGGAAAATGTACACTATGAAAAAAAAGTAGATTTAAAAAAACTGCCCTCAAAATAAGCTTATCTTATTTTTAAAGAAGATTTATTCATTTGAAAAGGAGAGACAGAGAGAAAGAGAGAGGGAGAGGAGGAGAGAGGGAGAAGAGAGAGAGAGAAAGAGAGAGAGAAAGGCTCTTCTATTTGCTGGTTTACTCCCCAAATACCCACAACAGCCAGGACTGGGCCAGGCTGAAGCCAGAAGCCAGGAATTCCATCCTAGTCTCCCACGTGGGTGGCAGGCACTTGTACCATCATCCACTGCCTCCCAGGTGCATTTTCAGCCAGCTAGAAGTAGAGTGGCCAGGACTCAAATGAGGCACTCTGATACGGAATGCAGGTGTCCCAAGTCACACTAAGCCAGTGGTGCCACAACACCAGCCCCTACGTCCATCTCTTAGTTGCACTTTTCCACAAATGTTTTGAAGTCCCCTTGTCCTACTCCATAACGAAACCCATAATGTTAACTAGGAAACAAACCAGTGGGAGGAAAAGCAAAACAAATGGCTGACCACGCTGCTCTTTCAGCCTGTGCTCAGTGATGCCATGGATGGGGAGCGGCGACGGGCCTGACAGCAAGCTGGGAGTTCCATTCCAGCTCTGTTTCTTTGTCATCATCACTGCCTTCGTGGTTTGTGTCCTTTTTGAGGCTTCTGTCACCAATGTGTCCTGCAAGATCCAAGAAGCGATATTTCATGTAACAGGCATAAGCCGCCGGCTTCCTAGCAGCTCTGTACCTGGTCTGCTATAATGGCTGTTCAGTCCTCCTCAACTCTTGCTGGAGCCATGTAGAGTCAAGAAAAATATTATCAGGCAAAAAAAAAGATACAGACACACAGATGATAGGGAGATAGACAAGGTGATTACGTGGGATAAATCGGGCTTCCCTGCTGGATTCCACCAGCAGAGCAGAGCCCTAGGCTTACACCATGCAAATCCTTCACTGAGGCTCTCCAAATCAGAGCCCTGTGCATGAGTTTCCCTCCATAGCCATTAAAGTGATTTTCTTGTCTGGGAAAATTATGAGGAGCTTTGAACAAAGTTTGCCTCAGTGACTTAAAGAAATAGATCTCTCAACAAGGTATAAAGAGCTTTGAGAGACGCTGCATTGAAGTACTTCTCTTGGACACCCTTGCTTAAATGCTGAGCCCTATATTTCCCAGCCGGTTTTATTTAGTTGTATGGATTTTCAGGTTTTATGTCCAGAGGAGTCACAGAACATATCCCATGGAGAAATGTTCCTTTTTGAGTAGCAACAACACAGTGACTTTAGATGAGGCAAGTTTTCATGCATACCCTACTTCCCACTAAGACTATGTATCTGTAAAACACTAGCAACCTCAGGGCAAACGCTGCAGCACAGTGGGCTAAAGAGCTGCCTGCATTCCAGCATCCCATATAGGCACCAGTTTCAGTCCCAGCTGCTCCACTTTCAATCCAGCTCCCTGCTAATGAGCCTCTGAAAGCAATGAAGATGGTCCAAGTGCTTATGCCTCTGCATGTACGTGGGAGACCCACTAGAAGCTCCTGGCTTCTGGCTTCAGCTTGGCACAGCCCTGGCTGCTGAAACCATTTAGAGAGTGAATCTATGGATGGAGGATCTCTCTCTGTTTTTCCCTTTCTCCCTATAACTCTGTCATTCAAATAAATAATAAATCTTAAAAAAAAAACTAACAACATCAGAGAAACCACAAGTAAGACTGCGAGTGTTCATAAAATTTGAATTAGGTGAAAAATTAGAACCTATTGCATCTGAAGATGAGTTGCAACCTTTTTCTGCAGAGCTGCAGGGTAGTTCAAGCCCTGCAAGCTGGGACCCTTCTGAAGTCACCTTTGTGAAAAACAAAAAATACCCTGGACAGGATAGCATACTGATGACAGGACAAGTGGCATTTTTTTTCTGTTAGGACACCAGAAAGCCTAACAGCGGTTGAATCTATGTGAAATGAGTGTATTACTGTGAGTGATTTTAGGAAAAAATTTCATTTTAAACATTCAGCTAGTAACATGTCTAGATCAATCTTTCAATTCCATTCAAGTTGTACCAAGCCCTAGTTCCAAATGTCATATGTCAGTGGTATCTTTCTGTGATTAGGAGAGAAACTTGGCCTTTAAAAGAAATCTCTATCAAAAAGAAAACCCACAGAGACATGCACAAATGAGTAAAATGCATACACATGTACCTTTAGAGATACAGGTTATTGTACCAGTGATTCTGAACTTGGGCAAGGAGTCCCTGGCCCAGGTCCCAAGGCTCAGATGGAGTTTAAAGGATTAGACTCAGAATGTAGTTTATAGCCTTTGTACAGAGCTCCCAGTCTTGCTCCAGACCCTGGCTTTTACACTGGGTTCTCTGGGCAGAGGAGTATATGGTTTTACTTAAGAGAGTCCATAGTCATAGTCTGCTTTCACCCTTGCACATTTCCTTGGCTTTTGAATTTTCATGTGCATGTTTCCAATGACAAGCTGTTTTAAAACTAGGGGAGCAATTGTGAAATAGGATGGCCGGTCCAAAGCCACCATGGCTTGGAAAGAACCATGACACGGACAACAATGCAGGATTTCTGCAGATTTGTGACATAAACGGAGCTCCCAAGAGAGTCCCTCTTGGAACACTGTTAAGCACTAAACATATTGTCTCTATCTGGTAAATAAGTGAAGGTTTCATTACTTTTGCTTACATCTCCCTGAAGACCAATGACTTTGGATTAAGTAGGAGAACACTGTATTTCAGAGATTACTCCCACCTTTTTTGACAACAGCATGGTCTTTCTGAAGCAGACGTTTGTTGAGTGAGAAATGTGCAGCTCAATGCATAAGTCAGCATGGAACGCCCTGTGCAACTGCACTCCAAGCCCTGATGCACTATGAAAATACTCCTACGATGACATCATTCCATTGTGAAAGAATGAGAACTCGGGAGCATGAAATACATTTGCTTCCCCACTGTAACAGGACTCAGGCGGCAGATTTCTCACTGTACATTTCTACTTGGCTGCGGTGTTTCTCACCCCATGGTTGGCAAACTCCTTCAGATTCCACAGTCCCTACAGAGCAGCGCTACATTCTGCTCATGCCACAGGTTCTCTGTGCTGTTTCGCCTTTGAAGGACAAGCACCAATGGCTTAGGAGAGGCTTACGTTCAGCTCAGCCCATAGCCGCAACCGTTAGTGAGCTCCTACTACATCCTATGAGCTTCATCTGGAGGTGGATGGGGCTGGGCAGATGGACAGGCCTAGAGGTCAAGCACAAGACTCTGAGAATCTCACTACCAAGATCTACTAGGAAATCCTTACGTTGTTCACTCATCTTCAGAGGCATCTCGCTGGTTTCCTGCTCTTTTTTCTGCACTACAGGAAGCTGACACCTTCTTCATGCTCTTTGCCAGTTCACGTACCACCTGGTGGCTGCCAGTTCTGGGTCTGCCCCCTGGCAGGCTATCCAGAGTATAGCTCCACAGCCTCCTCTTCAACCTACCCTTGAAAATCAGATTTCTAGGCCGAGAGCCATCACCTTACTGGATCTAAATCCCAGCAAGAAAGTACTCTCTGATTATTCCAGAGGGACATTTGCAGTTTAAGGAAGAAATGAACACACCAAATGACTTGTAACTGACTACTTGGGATGTTTCCCACTTTTTTAAGTGCCAGGATGTTGCATCAGCAGCTTCAGAGAGAGACAATATTCTAACCAGGACTTGGGCATCTGAGGCTTGTCCCTGGGGTGATGATATGGTCCAGCGGCTGCCCACAGGCATGGTCATAGGCAGCTGAGCTCTGCTGAGAATAAGGGACTTGAGATATTCATGCAGGACTTCAGAGGTGGCAGAAAGCATCTGTGATGGCCACACAGTTAGAAAACCCCCTGAATTTATGATAGGAAAGAAAACATGCAGTGGAAGCCCCTCAATTAGGGACAGCACTATGGCTTAGAGGGTTAAGCAGCTTCAGCATCCCATATCAGAGCACCTGTTCTAGTTCCATTTGCTCCCTGCTAATGCACCTGGGAAAGCAGCTGATGGAAACAAGGATGGAGTCCCTGGCTCTCATACTAGACCTAGATGTTCACTCCTATTTGGTTAGTGAACCAGCAGATGGAAGATTCTGTGTGTGTGTGTGTGTGTGTGTGTGTCATTCTGCTTTTCAAATAAGTAAATAAATCTGAAGGAAGAGAGGGGGAAAGAGAGAGAGAGAGAGAGAGAGAGAGAGTGCATCCCATCCCTGGTGTAGGAGAAACTGTCCTTTTAAGGACGACAGAGACTGCAGGGAACTGGGCATTCCCACGACTGACTGCACCGCACTGAGTGTCCCCAGCCCTTCCCCGCCCTCGGGGGACAGTTGCAGACTAATCACATTCGGGAAGCTCACACCAACCCTTGCGTAAATTAATAAAGGTCTCAGTGACACGGGACAGCCTTTCCACAAAGCACATGATGAATCGTCAAACTCCTTCAGCATTTGAAACCACCAGCTGGCCATGAAACCACCCCGAAAGTCAAGACCAGGATCCGCAGCGGTAGCAAATAGAGGCCAATTTTAAAAAAAACGTTTCCAAAGTCTTGTTGGACGGATTGCCTGATACAAAAATAAACACGTCAACTCCATGGTTATGCACGATGGCTTTTATTTTATGTTTCCCTGACAGGAGACTGGATTCTGGGCCCAACAAACAGACCGTTAGGAAAAAGGGATCCACGCCCTTTGCGGTTGAATAGGAGGAATGGTTATACAGAATTTCCATTTCGTAGTCCCCCCAAAACGAAATGTGATTTTTCCAGCATTTCTTCTGCAGCAGAGTAGAAAATGTATATCTGAGCACACAGGCATTAAACACCACCAGACAATTCCATGCCTGTTGGCGATTACTCAACTTTTACCAAAGAACAATATGTAGTATTTTAAAGAAAAAACAGTTAATTCCTCTGGCAAACTCCCATGACACAGAAGCCATCAGGAGGCATTGCATCTCAAAAACAAGCTAGTAATTAAAATTGCACCAACTCAGTGACACCAACAGACTAAATCACAAAACCAACTTGAAGGTGACAATTGAGCAGTTTATGTTTTGAGGGTTTTGCTTTTTGCTTTTAAAGAAAAGATGGCAAAATGCAACCAGATTGTGCGCCTTCTGCTATTTTCTGTGTTCTTGTCACAAAGTCCAGGAGGTCAAGGTCAACAGAGGAAGAAGTGCAAAAAGTTCTAGATGGAGTTTGACTCTGAGAAGAAAGGACGCAGGGATAGAAATCTAACAAGAGACAGAGAGCAGGAGGAGGGGAAAGAGCACAAGATTTCTGTCCATGTGGGACTAAGTCATGCCCCAGTGTTTCCAATGCTCATCTGTCCCCCTTGTGTCCCTTACCTGGGCCCTGTCACGTAGGACAGAGCTTCTTAAGAAATAGAAAAAACAGGGGCCGGCGCTGTGGCTCGCTTGGCTAATCTTCTGCCTCTGGCGCCGGAATCCCACATGGGCCCCGGGTTCTAGTCCCGGTTGCCCCTCTTCCACTCCAGCTCTCTGCTGTGGCCCGGGAGGGCAGTGGAGGATGGCCCAGGTCCTTGGGCACTGCACCCACATAGAAGACCAGGAAGAAGCACTTGGCTCCTGGCTTCAGATCAGCGTGGTGCACAGGCAGTAGCGGCCATTTGGGGGGTAAACCAACGGAAGGAAGACCTTTCTCTCTGTCTCTCCCTCTCACTGTCTGTAACTCTACATGTCAACTAAATAAAATTTAAAAAAATCTTAAAAAAAAAAAAAGAAATAGAAAAAACAGGCCAGCACCATGGCTCACTTGGCTAATCCTCCGCCTGCGGCACCAGCACACCAGGTTCTAGTCCTAGTTGGGGTGCTGGGTACTAGTCCCAGTTGCTCCTCTTCCAGTCCAGCTCTCTGCTGTGGCCCAGGAAGGCAGTGGAGGATGGCCCAAGTGCTTGGGTCCCTGCACCTGCATGGGAGACAAGGAAGAAACACCTGGCTCCTGGCTTCAGATTGGAGTAGCACCGGCCGTAGCGGCCATTAGAAGAGTGAACCAACGGAAGGAAGACCTTTCTCTCTGTCTCTCTCCCACTGTCTATAACTCTACCTGTCAAATAAAAAAAAAATTAAAAATTTAAAAAAGAAATAGAAAAAAAACAAAAAAGAAGACAACTTCTAGGATGATTAAAGGAGATACCACATAGTCTAGCTGGTGTTGATCAGTTATTCTGTCAGATACTGATTTCATCTAGAATATCAGTTCCTAGAAGGATTGTCAATATTTCTCATCCTCTCTTCCTATGTAAACTCAAGATTTAAAATGGAAAATCAAATGATTCATAAAATGCAAACAACTTAAAACATTGGGTTTTAAACAAAGTACCTACAAAAAGCTATTGTATTTAGAGACTTTCTATTATTAATAAAGTAGAAATCCCTATTCACCAGTAGTTACTCCAACTTTAGATATCTTTTTAAAACTCAGCCTTCATTTGAAATGACAACCCTATAAACTTGAAATGCCTGGTAAATTCAATCCACCAAAATAAAACTGCATTAAAGTAACATAAACATTATATCCTAATACTTAAGAGTCACAAATACAGGATTTGAGATTGGGTCTGACTCCTGAGTGTTTGCTTTTTCCAGTAGAACTGATTGCCTTTATCTGTTGACATGTTCTAACAAATTGATCCATTCAAGTAAAGCTACAGTTTTCAAACTGCATTTTTCTGTAGTGGTTTGTCCCAGAGGTTCCTGGTACCCATCAAACCCTGCCCGCTCTGGCCACTCAGTCCCTAAGGTCCCACCATCATAACCTTGTGAGCATCATGGGTCCAGGTGTGAAGTCCCTAGGGAGCTCACTCAGCCTTGTTCTCATTCCCAACCATCCATGCAATAACAAGGGAACACACAACACTTATCCAATAAGATTGGATTAAAGATATTTTCTGAGCTTTGTGCAATCTTTGTTTTTATTGTGTTTATACAATGTGCTGTAAATTTGAGGTGCTTTGTGCCTAATTATTTTGCAAATAATCCCTAGTCATAAGTTGCTGGTTAAAAAGAAGATATTTAAGAAAATGTGTAGTGGTGAGTACAATGCTACAGATGAACTTTGTATGAAATTAACTACAATCAGCCTTCTGCATCCACATTGATGGATTCCACAAACCTGAATGGAAAATATTCAGAAAAAAATTGTATCTGTACTGAATATACACAGACTTTTTTCTTATGTTTTCAAACAATACAGTATAACAACGATTTACACAGCACTTACATTGTATTAGGTATTATAAGTAATCTGCTAGGTGATTCAGTGCACACAACAGGATGTGTGTAAGTTATGTGCAAGTACTGTACTGTATTATAGAAGGGTCTTTGTGTCTGGTGGAGGGATTCTGGGGTCAGCTGACTGTACCTTGCCTGAGTTGATTGGTTAATGACTATAGTGATCATGTGTGAAATGACACAGCAGACGGTGACCTTCAAGCCCTGTCAGAGACAAAAGAAGAATGGCAGAAACCTTCCAAATATGGGAGGGAAAAAGATCTAGGACCTCAAAGGAATGTGTACCATGAAGTTTTGCAAAATAATTCTGGGGTCTCTGCCTGGGACATTTTTGAAGTAAAACACATTGAGGATAAGAAAACATTTTTTTATGTGTGCAAAGAATGAATGACTTAATAGTATTGAAAATATATGCAAAACTCAGTCCTTGTTAAAATGAGTTTGTAGGGCTATGCACAGAAACGTGCTGCAGAGCCATTAAGGGAGGAACACCTCAGTTTAAAAGAGCTTAGGAAAGCTTCTACTGAGAGCACTAAAATAAGTGTGGTAGTTGATCAGATGGCTACAAAAATACAGTTACAGTCATCTTCTGAAAATGGTGATGAATAATGCAGAAATTATAATATCTGTTGAGTTTGTTTGAAGTTAAGATGATGGAGCATCTTCACAGTTCAAAGTCACACAAATACACAGATCTCTTCCATCTGGCATTTTTATACAAATGCAGACAAACTAGATATTATTTTGCTGAACTTTTGACATGTAAGCAACAGAAGAAATAATGTTGAGGATTTGTGCTAGCTTTAAAAACATCATCTATAAGTTGACAACAATGTCCTGTGCTGTGCTATCCTGAAAACTGTTGGCAGAAGAAGCACAGTAGTTAGGGGTCCCAAAAACCTTGGAGAAATTGACTTCTCTGTACAGAAGACGACATTTAAAATGCCAACTGTAAACATGATGGCAGCTTTCAAAACTATTAAATAACAACACAGAAGCTGTCATTTTTACTATCTGTGGTCTTCAATTCCATGCTTTTCACTGTGTAATGATTTTGTTTGTCACTAAAGGGTATCCTGCTGCTGAGAAGTTTGAAAACATTTAGAACTTGAAGATTTATGATGTCTATGGTCCGAATCACTTACTAATGGCATTCCTGTGGGAAGGTAAGCAAATGAGATCTAGATAATAATAATAGAGCTAACATGTGACAGCCATTTATTCTGTACCTGGCACTAAATGTTTGGTGCTGGTTATTACATTCAGGGACCACAAGAGTCTGATTATGTGGGCATTATCTGGTTTCCTATTTTACAGATTAAGAAACTGAGGCTTGGACCTCAGCAGCCTTCCATAGGCAGCTGGGCCAGGAATGAGTGGGCAGGGCTCATTGAGGCTCCTTCTGATCTCTTCCCAGGAACACTGCCTGCCCTCAGGAGCTCTGTTTCCATGTTCTCCACAGTTGAGGAGGGGCAGAGTAACTGGGGGGCCATGAGTTGCCTGGCCAGTGGGAAGTGTCAAGCATTATTGCCACTGGGCAGTAAGTCTCCAAGGTCTGTGCATTGGAAAGTGGGCACCTCTCCCCGGGATAGGATCACCCTACTCTGCATGCTGTGCTGACCCTTCTTGTACAGGGAGAAAGCGACAGAGCTGCAGACAATTGGATGGCACAGGTTGGCCTGGCTGGGCCTTCCCATGCACTAACCATGCATCCACCGGGTGTCACCATGGGACACCAGGCCACACAAGCACATGAGGGAGCACTGGTCAGGCTGGGCCCCAGGACAAATCTCAGTGGCACCGGGTGTCGGCAGGTAAGATGCTGCTCTAGGGTGACTTGTCAGGGTTTGTCACTTGGGGATCCCTCGGAGTGGGAGTCTCTGTGGTGGATTTAATAGGAGCCCATTCCCTAAATGCTGAGAGAGTAGATGACAGCACTTCTAGGGCAAAGTAAACAAACTGCTATTCTACACAGTGGGGAGCAGGCATATATAACTCCTGGCCCTGTGAGGTGGAAGCAGAGATGCTCATTGAGATCAGGGCTGTCTATAGATAGCAGTCACTTGTTGGATCTTGTACAAGTCACAGAATCGCATGTTAATTTTCAAGCATTAGAAATATTCAGAAATGAATATAAATTCTATATGTCTTTGAAAATAAAAATAATTGTAACTTGTATATATACTGTATACTTAAAATATAAAGAAATGGATTTCTACATTCCTCCTGTGCTTTCAAGTTTCTTTTTCTCATACATATTCCCTCTCCCTATCCGTCTCCTTGTCTCTTCCAACAATTTTCCCCTATTTGAATGTGTTTGTTCATAATCAATTTTAGGCCACTAATACTATGTCTTTTCTTTGGTAGGCCTTTCAAATAAATAAATAAGTTTCTTAAAAAAATAAAAAGAAAAAAGCAACCTTTTGTAAATAAGAAAGGAGGGCAGAAGAAAAGTAGGAAAGCAAGCATGTGAATGACACCGCCTGGCTGGTGTTTTGGAAAGAAACTCTGATAGAAGAGCTACCCCCTGACAGTGAAATACTATTCAGTGTTCATAAACAACATATACATTTCACAGAGTGCCCAATTTACTGAAAATATTCTCAAGCTGTAAAATAAACCCCAAAGAAACACAGGGAACCTTCTGATGAATTAGTCTCACTGCCTAAGGTCTCAGGAGCTATGAAATAAAAAATAAATAAATAAAATTAAGCAAACACACAATATTGCTGAGCAACCTGGCTTAGACTCAAACAACTTTCGCGTGTATGAAACCTTTCAGAAAGGAACTGTGTGAAACTGATGGAAGAATTCACCCTGTGGGCGGTGCTCTGATGTCCTAATGAACAGCTACGTGGAAGGTGACTGAATTCAATGACAGTCTCCACGGCTATGCGTCCATCCCTTCCTCACGTCCAGGCACACGAGTGTGCACATGCACACACATGTGCATATATGCACGCATGCATGGCTCACTTAGCCAAGGTGGATCCTCAGCACAAATTATATTTATTTCTTTAAAAAGTGAACGTATTCAAGCATTGATGGGAATGTAAAAGTCTCCCTCTCCTGGTCCTCTTGTTTTGTAAATGCTGATGCGCATTCTGTATGTACAATTGGTGCTTTTTAGTCTCAGCTGGTAGATACCCACAGGGAGTTGAGGCACTGCTTTGCAGACCAAGATGGGGAAGCACTTAACAGATAAAATATGACTTGATCCAAACCCTTTCCCATAACAGATGCCGAGGCCAAACCAAAACTGCTTTGAAGAGCTTAATAAGAAAAAAACTGGAACTGGGTTGGCTTCAGGTTTTGCTGCTTTTAAATAATCCTTCATCTGCCCTATCTGCACTGCTGAATCCTTGGAATAACCAGGTGCTGTGAGAGAAACACCAGACCCGGAAGTTGACCGGCAAACACTACAGTGCACCTATCAAACACCACCTAACCACAAACAGAACAATAAGCAACTCACCGGGGGGCTCTGAAAGTGCTGTTGCAACAAAATGGAACATTCTGCTTCTGTTCAGAATGCCACTGTAAGGATCCAGTACTGCGGCACAGCAGGTTAAGCTGCCACCTGCGACGCCAGCATCCTGTATGGGTGGTGGTACAAGTCCAGCTGCTCCACTTCTAATCCAGCTGCCTACTAATGTGCCTGGGAAAGCAGCAGAGGATGGCCCAACTACTTGAGCCCCTGCACCCACATGGGAGACCTGGGTCCTGGCTTCAGCCTGGCCCAACCCTAGCCATTGCAGCCATTTGGGGAGTAAATTAACAAATGAAAGATCTCTCTCTCTCTCTCTCTCTCTCTCTCTCTGTGTGTGTGTGTGTGTGTGTGTGTGCGTGTGTCTGTAGCTCTGCCTTATCAAATAAATGAATCTTTTAAAAATTAAAAATAAAATTGCCAGTGTAAGGATTCGTATTTTTCCATGTTTCCTACGCCCTCCGATTTTCCATCTTACAGAAAGGGGTCCTGTGGCGTGGTGTACTTCATTGCAAGGTCTGTGGCCACAGTTATACCCATGTAGTTGTTTCGCCCCTTCAGGAACTCATCACGCAGAATATGCGGATGGTCAGGGCCTCTTTCTACACACCTGACAGCAAAGAACCTTGCTCGTCTGGTGCTCAGAAGGGAAACCCACAGTGTGGCACTTGCTCAAAGGTGAGACACCAGCCAGGATGTGAGGTTCACTTCTAGGCTCCTCCCACCTGTGCCAGTGGTGCCTAAACTACTCACAGCCGCAGGATGCATCTCAGATTGAAAGTGATGGCGCAGTCCCCGGACACTGCCAAGGCATCTGAGCCCCACCCCACACCTCATCCACATCCAGCCCCAGTGGTCACACTGGCTGAAGGCTTCACCTTTCTTCAAAAAATAATTAACAAGAGAATTAATTCCATGGTAGACTTTAACCTGTTATTTTAGACAGTGCAAACACACAAAATAACTGCTGTGGAAGTCAAGGCTCTTGTGAGAATGAAGGTCCCAGCGCTGTCCCTGAGAGCTTAGCCGTGGGTGTGAGGGAACCTGTGTCCATAATCTGGACAATCCACAGCCCAGTCCATAAGCGCTGCAGGAACAACCTGAAGCACCTGCCTCATGTCTGGTGCACAGGAAGTGTGCTGTGCTGGCTGCCTTCTGGGCAACAGATATCTCTCTGTTCTTCCTGAGGGCACATGCTGCTGACGTCCACCTGCCTCAGGGGAGCTGGTGTGGTCAGGAAGAGGCAGGTGACCCAATGTGGGCCAGTGAGATGACAAGAAGAATGTTCTAGACCAGCTGCTGGAAACAGGAGAGTAACAAAGGCAGTGACAGCAGACATCCTAGACTCTCTCGACCATAAGGGGAAGCAATCACCTGTCTTCCACCATTATTGTAGAATTTTTGTGATAATCTTTATAAAATTAGTTTCCTTATAGTTATATTTGTCTGAGAGGGTTTTTTTTAGTTGTTATGAATGGGCATTAAATTTTATTTGCTGATTTAACTGTGATACGTATCCTTTAGCTTATTAATATGACATGGAACTGTGATCAGGTTTCAGCAATTGATCCAGCCTTGCCTCCACACTAGGTTATGGTGTATCATTCACGTCACATTTTTTTTAAGATTTACTTATATATTTGAAAGTTACACAGAGAGAGAAGGGGAGGCAGAGAGAGAAGTCTCCCATCCACTGATTCACTCCCCCACTGGCCACAATGGCTGGAGCTGTGTCAATCTGAAGCCAAGAGGCAGAAGCTTCTTCTGGGTCTCCCACATGGGTGCAGGGGCCCAAGGACTTGGGCCATCTTATACTGCTTTCTGAGGCCATAGCAGAGAGCTGGATCAGAAGTGGAGCAGCCAGGGACATGAACTGGTGCTCATACAGGGTGCCGGCACTGCAGGTGGCAGCTTTACCAGCTACGCCACAGCACCAGCCCCCATCTTCACATATTTCTGATTTCTGTTCAAAGACTTTTGAGTCAATACCCACAGGATACTGGTCTGTCAGTTTCTTCTGTTGTACTGTTTCCTCTGGCTTTGATTTCAGTACAATGACTAGAAATGCTCTTTCCCCTTCTGTTCTCTGGACTAGGTGGATCTCAGTTTGTGTTCATTCTTCTTTGCAGGTATGGTAACACTTACCATGGGAGCCATCTGCATTGGAAAGTTCTTTGGGGAGAGGTTCTTAATTACAAACTGAATTTCCTTAGTAGTTATAGGGCTATTCATATGATGTGTTTCTTATGGTGGTGAATAGTAGGGATTTATGTTTGAGGATTAGGTCTATTCCATCTAAGCTGTCAAGTGTATACATGGAGAACTGTTCATTTCACTTGTCATTATCATTACATGTCTGAGGAGTCTACAGTGGGATTTTTCTGGCACAAACTTCAAGTGTTTGACCTCCACCCATTGCCCAGATCCAAAACTGCTTGCTCATCTGGGGTGTTTATTTTAGTTGCATCCCTACTTCCTGTACCAATTGCTGTTTTTGTCCATTTGGGATGCTATCACAAAATGTCACAAGCATATCAACAATTTATAAACAACCCAGACTTCATTTCTCACTGTTCTGGGGGCTGGCGAGTCCAAGATGCAGGTGCTAATAGATGCTATGCCTGCTGAGGGCCCATTCTTAGTTCATAGATGACGGTCTCCTCTGCGTCCTCCTGTGGAGGAGAGGGCAAGAGAGGACAGGAGTCACCTCCTAGAGGCCCCACTTCCTCACCCCATCACCTCCACAGGTTAAGTTTCCACATATGAATTTGGGAGTACACAAACACCCAGATCACAGCTCCAGGGAACTCCCCACAGCCTCCACAGGCCCTGAAGTCCCAAGCCAGGCTGCTCTGTCCTCTCCACTTTTGTGATTGTTCTTGTGCTTACAGGATGCACGGCGCCCACTGTGTCTAGTTGCACGTAGTGAGGAGATAGGAAAAGCACACCTAACTGGTCCCCAAGCAGTCACCTTAACACCTGTGGCCACACCAGATCTGCACAGAGCTTCCTTTCCCCCTGCAGAGCTCCCTGATCTTGCCCTGTTCTCTTCTTTTCATCCCTTAGCTGGTTTAGCTTTTTGATTGATTGGTTGGGTTTGTTAGTTTTAAGCAAAGATCATGGCATTTTTGAGAAGTAGTGATTTCATATTTTCCCAGTCTTAAAGTGAATTCCCAGTTTTCTGATTGAAGCAGAAAGGCATTAAATAAATACGTTTAAAGGAAAAGAAATCTGTTGCAGGAGTTCAGACATCAGCTGGGGCTTTCACACTCCATAATCACAGTGCCTGGGTTGGAATCCCAGCTCTGCTCATGACTCTAGCTTCCTGCTAATGTTCACCCTTGGAGGCAGCAATGATGGGTAAGTAGCTTCATCCCTGCCACCCGTGTGGAAGATCTAGATTGAGTTCCATGCTCCTGGCTTTGGCCTAGAACACCTTTGGCTGTTGCAGACATCTGTAGAATGAACCACTGGATGGAAGATCTCTCTCTCTCTCTCTCTCCCATTCCCTCCTCTTCCTTCCCTCCCTACCTCTCTTTCAAATAAATAAAAACCAATAATTTTACTTTTTTTTTTTGACAGGCAGAGTGGACAGTGAGAAAGAGAGAGACAGAGAGAAAGGCCTTCCTTTGCCGTTGGTTCACCCTCCAATGGCCAGTGCGCTGCGGCCAGCGCAAGTTAATAATTCAACCAAGCTACCACAAACAAATGCTAATTTAATCAATTAAGTGATAATTCAGTCCAACTATCTTAAGCAAATTCCCTTTTGGGGCCCGCGCCATGGCTCACTTGGTTAATCCTCCCCCTAGGGCACCAGCAACCCATATGGGTGCCGGGTTCTGGTCCCGGTTGCTCCTCTTCCAGTCCAGCTCTGTTGTGGCCTGGGAGGGTGGTGGAGGATGGCCCCAGAGCTTGGGCACCTGCACCTACATGGGAGACCAGGAAGAAGTACCTGACTCCTGGCTTCAGATCGGCATAGCTCCAGCCATGGCGGCCATTTGGGGGGTGAACTAGCAGAGGGAAGACCTTTCTCTCTGTCTCTCTCTCACTGTCTAACTCTAGCTGTCAAATAAAAATAAATAAATAAATAAAAAGTATCCCTTTTCCTACATGTTTGTCACCAGAAATGTTTCTGTTCTAGAACTTTTTCAGATTTTGGAATATTTGCATATGTGTAATAAGATATCTTGGAGATGGTATTCAAGTATAAACATGAAATTCATTTATGTCTCATATACACCTTATACACATAGCCCAAGGTAATTTTACATAGTACTTGTTAACAATTTTGCATATGAAACAAAGCTTGTGTACACTGAACCAGGAGAGGACTCATTTGGAATTTTCCACTGGTGGTGCCATGTCAATGCTCAAAATGTTTCAGTATTTGGAGCATTTCAGATTTTCGGATTCTGAATTTTCTGTTTAGGAATGTTCAATCTATGTAGATAGTTAATAAGTGGAATAAATAAGTTAACTCTGCAATGAAGCGACCCTCAATTTCTGTCATCCACCCAACTGAGCAATGCATACTGCTGACCATCAAAGTTAATGCGCCTCGCTGTGTGCCTACCGCCCTGGTTCCCACTTTCATTTCTGTCGAGGCTGGTATAAAAGTGTGTTATTTTTTCACTACACCATTGACCGTAAGCAGCGTGTATGGTTATTCAAAGGGAACAGTCATTTCACTGACATGAAGCTCCCCTCCCCAGACACACACAGGCTTGCCCATGACCTGTGGGTAGAGAAATGTTCCAGCATATTTGACTCAAACGTTTCCCCCAGGGAGTGGGTGTGTGTGGCCAAGATTAGGGAAAGAGTTCAATGTGACAAGGAGGGTTTGGTTTTCAAGGTGTTGAGCTTTGCCGAGGGACATTTTGGAACTTTAAGAATCGACACAGATACAGATGTGAGGTCCCCAGGAGGAAGTCTCCCCAGGGTTCTGTCCCCAGCTCTCTTGTTCCAAGGGAAGCACAAGTGCATTTTGGAGAAGAGTCTCCTCCACCCCACAATTGCCCCCAGTGCCTCCCTCAAGAGAATGCAAGGGATCCCTTGTAATGTGGGCTCTGTGGGCATCAGGGTTTTATGCTCCATGACTCCACCAAAAATAGAGAGACATAGCAGGGACTGGCTGAACATGGAGGGATTCCTCTTCTAGATCGTTCCTTCCCAGGCAAGTAGTTCTCTGGGCCACACAGAGCACTAGAATTCATAAAAGCCAATGGTTCCCAAACTGCTGAAGTCAGAATCACATCTGGAGCTGTTCAGAAATACACTTCCCCTGGGGTACTTCCCAAATTCATTTAGAGTCAGACTCTCCCAGGGCAATGCTTGGGAGTCTCTGTGTTTCAGAAGGTCCCCCAGGCGCCTATAATGAACCAGGGAAGGTGTGGGGCCCACGGGTCTCACCTGACTCCTTTGTCATTCAGATAGTTAACAGCAAAACCAGAAGCAGAAACGCTGCCTCTGGAGGCCTGGGCTTGCTCCTCACCACCCAGCCTGCGTGGAGTCACTGCCACTGTCCCGGGGGCTGCAGCAGGGCCCACTGCTGTGTCACCAACGCACCGTGCTAGAAACCATCCCCAGCCTCCTGGGTGGACTGATGGTGATCCCAAGGGCAGAAGTCCTTTGCAGCAGTGCCTGGCTCAGCTGGAAAGCAGGGTAACTCCCTGGGCACTCACTGAAGACCTGGGGAGAGAGGAAGGTGTGAAGCTGGGGGGAGCAGCCCTCCCTGGGCTGTCGACAGGAGGATGAATTACAGATTCCACAGCCAGCTCTGACTCAAGAAATGAGAGGCTGGCAGGTACGTGTTTTTTATCTGTGTCTGCTGCTCTGGGAGAAAGATCCAGGGGAAAGTCTGCTTTACAGAGACCAAGTCGAAGTTTCCAGTGAAAGATGGGAATGAAAGCTTCTCTTATTATTAGCATTATTATTTTTTTCTTTCTGAGTTCCATGGAAGAGTCTGCAGAGCACTGATCCTTATCCAAGGAAGAAAAAGAGAGTGTGTGCTGTGGCCTTCGCGAGCGAGGGCCTGTGGGTTTGGGCCAGGAACAGGAATTCCCTGCACAGACACTGAGTCTGCTGCTGGAGACAGGAGGGGCGGCTCCAAAGAAGGCCACTGTGTTGGCTGCCACCGAGGAGCGCGCGGAGCGCGCACACAGCCTGGGAGAAGGGATGTGTGAAAGGAGTGTTTTTTTTCCCTAGAATACACAGTGCTCTTATTTCCTTAGGGGTGCAGTAAAAACTCACCGTGAATAGACTGCCACATGCGGCCGAGCATCGGGGAGGGTATTTATCTCCCCAGGCCGGGGGTGCTGGGATGGGTCCTGGGACGGACTTTGAATACTTAATAAATCAACATGAAAGATTAAAATGAGAAAGCGTTGGCTAAACATGTTTGGAAGCAGGCTTTGGGACTGCTATTTTTTCCCTACCAAGTGCTGCTTAGGGACTTGACTTTTTGAATCCAATAGAAAATGTGTCTGTGTTTGAGGTGAAAGGCAAAAAAGCAAGGGGAAAAAAAAGAAAACAAAAGCATTTTATGCTTGGAGCTTTGGTTTGCATGCATTTTTGAATTCCAAGAAAATCCAGTTGCTAAATCTAACTGCATATGTTGTACTAAGTAGGAAAAGCAAACAAACACACAAAAAACTGAAACATATCCTTAGCACACAAAAATTCTTAAAATGATCTATTGCAACATATCATTTGTTTCCTATTTCATCAAAATATAAGAATCAGCGGCTGGCATTGTGGCACAGAAGGTTAAGACACTTCCCATAAGGGCGTCAGTTCAGGTCCCAGCTGCTCCATTTTTGATCCAGCTCCCTGCTAATGGCCTGGGAAAAGCAGTGGAAGATGAGCCAAGTGTTTGGGCCCCTACACCCACATGGAAGATCCAGATGAAGCTTCTGGCTCCTGACTTCAGCCTGGCCCAGCCGTGGCTGTTGTGGACAACTGGGGAGTGAACCAGCAGATGGAAAATATCTCTCTCTCTCTCTCGGTATCTCTTTCAAATGAATAAATAAATCTCCCTTTAAAAAGGCAGAAAAACCCCATGAATAACTTTAAGTATTATGACATACATGCTGTGAGCAGACACTGGACAACCCTGGGCTGCTGGAAGCTTGGAGCTGTCTGCCTACACTAGATGATACATCCTGGCAAGTTCTCAGCACCCTTTGGTGCAACCTAAGAATATCTTACTTGGTTAGAGCAAGAGGGTGTGCAAAGCAAGAGTTGGGAGTCCTCCCCTAGCTTAGAGGCCACCCCTTTTAAAATCTGGCCTAACCTCTCTGAACACCAGCATCATAGCTACTTCTATTAGCAAACCCCGTGTGTGCAGCCCAGGCCTGGTTGCCCCTCTTTGAATCCAGAAGCAGTAGATACATGAGTCCTGCTGCTGTGCCCCCTGCTGTGGCTTTTCTCACCCACTGGCACCACCCTGAGCTCACCAAGGGCAGTGATAGCCTTATGCTTCTGTTATGGGCTGAATGTGTTCCTTAAGAATCCCTCTGTTGAGTGTGGGCATTGGGCATAGTGGTTAAGATGCCTTTTATGTCTCCCACATCCCAATCAGAGTGCTTGAGTTTCAGTCCTTGTTCTAATTCCGATTCCAGCTTCCTGCTAATGTGCACCTCAGGAAGCAGCAGATGATGGTTCAGTTAGTTGGGCTCCTGTCACCCATGTGGGAGACCTAGTTTGAGTTCCTGATTCTAGTTTTTATCTGGCCCAGCCCCAGTCTTGGGGGCATTTGGTGAGTGAACCAGTGGGTTAGAGTGTTTCTGTCTGTCTCTCTTTCTCTCTCTCTCTCTCTCTTCCCCCTCCCTTTCCTCTCACCCTTTCAAATAAATTAAAAAAAATTATTTCATATGTTGAATCCCTAACCTGGGAATGCTGATCTATCTGGAGACAGAGTCTTTAAAGTGGTAGTTAAGGTAAAACTGAGGTATTTATGGTAGGCCCTGATTCAATATGCCTGGTGTCCTTAGAAGAAATCAGGACACAGACGTGCACAGAGGAAAGACCACATGCAGATATATGGAGAAGACAGCCATCTGGAAGCCGAAGACACAGACTTCACAGAAACCCACCACACTGGTAGCTTGACCTTGGACTTTTCAGCCTCCAGACTGTGAGAAGATAATTCCTGTTGTTTGAGCTCTCAGTCCGTGGGACTGTGTTAGAGCCACCCTAACTGACCAATGCAGCTTCCGTGTCCTGTGTCACATACATCCAAGCCCTGAGCAAAGAAGAAACTCAGCATCCATTGTTGGGTTTAACTGTTCACTTAACCTATGGGATTCAGGAGCAAAGAAAGATAAAAACAGAATAACAGAACGAAAATTGAAATGGCAGACTTAAGTCTTAGCAATTCAATAATTGCACTCAGTTGAAATGGTCTAAATGTGTGAATTAAAGCAGATTGGCAGAGGGGCTGGTATTGTGGCACAGTGGATTAAGCCATCACTTGTGACATGGGCATCCCATGTCAGAGTGCTGATTTGAGTCTTGCTCACTCCACTTCTGATCCAACTCCCTGTTAATGCAACTAGGAAGGCAACAGGTGATGGCCCAAGTACTTGGGACCTTGCCACCATGTGGGAGAGAGGATGGAGCTCCTAGCTCCTGGCTTCAGTCTGGCCCAGACCTGGCTGTTGAATGAACCAATGGATGGGAGATTTCTCTCTCTCTCTCTCTCTCTCTCTCTCTCTCTTTCACTCTGTCTGTCAAATACATAAATCATTTTAAAACAAGAAAGAGAGACTAGAGGAATAATTATAAAAACATGACTCAATTATATATTGCTACAAGAAACTAAATTCAAACACAGTGACATAAATAAAAAGAATAAGATGGAAAATGATATAACATGCAAACATAATCAAAATAAAGGAAGAATAGCTGAAGTTGTATCTGATAACTATATATTTTTAAAAAGTATTTATTTATTTATTTGAAAAGTAGAAATACAGTGAGAAAGAGAGAGAGAGAGATCTTCCATCCTCTGGTTCACTCCTCAAATGGCTGCATTGGTCAGAACTAGACCAGGCTGAAACCAGGAGCCAAGAGCTTCTCCCAGGTCTCCCATGTGGGTGCAGGGCCCCAAATACTGGGCCATCTTCTGCTGCTTTCCAGGTACGTTAGCAGGAAGCTGGATTGAAAGTAGAGCTGCCAGGACTTGAACCAGTACTCATATGGAATGCCGGCACTGCAGTTGGAGGCTTAACCTTCCACGCTGCAGCACTGGCCCCTAAAGTAGATCTGAGAGCAAAGAAAATTACCAGTGACACAGAAGAATGTCACAAAACAACAGAGTGGACGCACTATCAAGAAGTGAGTAATTCTAAATGTCTTTGTACCTAACATGAAGGTGTCTGATACGTGAAGCACAATCTGATAAAACTGAAAGAAGAGACAGAAAATTCACAGTTGGGGCTGAAGATGTCAACACTTGATCGAACAACTAGACAGAAAACCAGGAAGAAGATAGAATTTAGCACCATCAACCAACAAGATCTGACCACCTATATCGAGGGAGACCATATCCTGGTCAGGAATCAAAACACAAGAAATTTAAAAGAACTGGCATCATACGGGATGTGTTTGCCATTCCCAATGGTACTGAAGTCGTATTAATAAAAGAAATGTATCTTTAAATACTTGATTAAAACACTTTTAAATATTCCATGAGTCAAAAAGAAAAACAAAAAAACTCCTAAAAAGTGAAAACTTCATCAAACTAAAGTAAATGAAAATATAACACATCCAAGTTTGTGAGGTGCAGTTAAAGCAGTGTTGGGAGGGCAATGTATAGCAATAAATGCTTACATTAGAAAAGAGGGAAAGTTTCAGATAATAGTCTGAGCTCCCATCTCAAGACTCTTTAGAAACAAACACACAGAAAACAGAAGCAAGGAAAAGAATAGGAATAAACGAAATTGAAAACCAAAAAATGACAATTGAGAAAATCAATGAAACAAAAAGTTTTTCTTTGAAGAGATCAACATAATTGACAAACCTTGAGCAAGATTTATAGAGGGAAAAAATGCAAGTGCAAATTCAGGGATGAATCAGGTGATAGATATTACTAAAGACCCTGCAGGTACTAAAATGATACAGGAGCAAAAGGAACAACTCTACATACACAAATTTAACAACTCAGGTAAAATGGACAAATTCCTTGAAAAGCACACAGTAGTCCTCCACTACCACCATGAAACACAACTTTAATAGCCCTAGAACTATAAAGAAAATACTGTAAAGGAAATGTAATTGGCAATTAAAAGCATTCCAGAAAGATCATCCCTTTTTCCATGAAAACAAACGTTTAAATAAGAATTAGCACTAACAGTATAGAAAATAAGTAATTTGTTGAGAGATAATAAACATATACAAATATTATTTTAATATTTTTATTTTTAAAATTTAAAAAAACACATTTCTATTGTTTTTAAAATTTTTGAAAGATGAGGAACAAAATAACAGTCTGACAAGTGTCCCAAAGTAAATATATGGATCACACTTAATGCCAACATAGAGCATCAAGGGATAAGATCTAAATAAAAACATTCTGAATTATAGTAACTTTTTTTTTGACAGTCAGAGTGGACAGTGAGAGAGAGAGACAGAGAGAAAGGTCTTCTTTGCCATTGGTTCACCCTCCAATGGCCGCCGCGGCCGGCGCGCTGCGGCTGGCGCACAGCGCTGATCCGATGGCAGGAGCCAGGTACTTATCCTAGTCTCCCATGGGGTGCAGGACCCAAGTACTTGGGCCATCCTCCACTGCACTCCCTGGCCACAGCAGAGAGCTGGCCTGGAAGAGGGGCAACTGGGATAGAATCCGGCGCCCCGACCGGGACTAGAACCCGGTGTGCCCGGTGTGCCGGTGCCGCAAGGCGGAGGATTAGCCTAGTGAGCCACGGCGCCGATGCTGAATTATAGTAACTTTTAAGCAACTGTAGTGTTGGTTATTTACAGTGACTGCACAACTCATAATTTGAACTGATAAAAATTGACAAGAAGTTAATGAGTAACCAATTCTATACCATAATTAATGACAAGATTTGGATATAAGATATGAGGGTGCATCCAAAAATTCATTCACAAAACATATTATGAAAAACTATGCATGGATTTCAATTTGTTTTGCACTAAAATCAATATATATTCTAATTCCATTTCCCACAAACTTTTTGAAATACCCTCACATATACCAAAGAACACAGAAATGATGCCTTTAAAATTCCTTATGTAGGGGCTTAGCAGGTAAAGCCACTGCCTGCAGTGCTGGCAGCCCATATGGGTGGCAATTCGAGTGCTCCACTTCCAATCCAGCTCTCTGCTATGGCCTGGGAAAGCAGTGGAAGATGGCCCAAGTGCTTGAGATCCTGCACCCACGTGGGAGACCCAGAAGAAGTTCCTGGCTCCTGGCTTCAGATCTGCTCAACTCTGGCTATTGTGGCCAATGGGGAAGTGAACCAGCAGATGGAAGACCTTTCTCTTTCTCTCGCTCTGCCTCTCCTTCTCTCTGTGTGTAACTATTTTTTTTCTTAAAAAAAAAAAAAAAGATTTATTTATTTACTTGAAAGTCAGTTACACAGAGAGAGAAGGAGAGGCAGAGAGAGAGAAAGAAAGAGGTCTTTCATGTGCTGGTTCACTCCCCAATTGGCTGCAACAGCTGCCTCTGTGCCAATCCAAAGCCAGGAACCAGGAGCTTCTTCCAGACCTCCTACGCATGTACAGAGGCCCAAGAACATGGGCCATCTTCTACTGCTTTCCCAGGCCACAGCAGAGAGCTGGATCAGAAGTGGAGCAGCTCCTGGGAAAACAGTGGAGAATGGCCCGAGTCCTTGGCTGCACCCAAGTAGGGGACCAGGCAGAGGTTCCTGGCTCCTGGCTCCTGGCTTCAGATTGGCACAGCTCCGACCATTGCGGCCAACTGGGGAGTGAACCAGCAGAATGAGGACCTCTCTCTCTCTCAGCCTCTCCTTCTCTCTCTGTGTAACTCTGACTTTCAAATAAATAAATAAATAAATTTTAAAAAAGTTCTTTATGTAAGCCCCAATGCTGTTTATATTATGAACTTTAGGTGAATAATTCTTGAAGCACCTTGCAAATTTAAACTGTGGCCAAGCTACAATGACACGACCTGGTAAAGGCTGACTTGATGTAGTTCTGCTGTAAATACAGATGCTTTTCTGATCTGTTTTTTAAAAGGTGATTCCTTCCTACCAGGGAAGGTCAAATCTAGAATGTAATATATAATGTGATATTACACACAGAGCATGCAAGTGCGCTTACCTGCACGGCTATTTTTCAGTCATGTAGGTTCTGTGGTTCCCCTCAGACTTCCCTCTGCAGAGCGAAGTTGGCTATGCAATGCATATAAATCTGCACTTGGGCCAAGTCTGCAAACCAGACTCCAAGCAGGACCTAGGGCTCAAATGACAGCATATCCATGTCTGCTGTGAGCACTCAGTGGTGGGGGGAGTGGAAACAGAACAGGCTCTTTACCCAAAAAGCTCTATCCACATCCATCTTCCCAGAGAAATAGCCTTCCAGGCACTGCGGCCGATAAGAAATGGCAAGTGATAAATAAAACTCTGACGTCCAAGGACAAATGACCCCCAACACACACATGAAGGGGAAGCTAGGAAAATTTCAATAGGGGTGTCGTGGGAGAAGGCATGCCTGCCAAAATCACCACACACATGTGCATGCATGCATACATGTGCAAAATGCAAGCATCCATGTGTTCACACCTGTTACACATCCAGCTTACGCACCAGCCCCTCAGTAGCTGCTCTCCTTCCTGTTCTAGCTGAGCAACTTTCTTAGCCCATCCACGCTCCAGCGTTCTCAAATGCTGAACCGACTCAGTCCCTACTCGATGGGGTTCTCATGAACAGGGAGCAGCGCCTAGCACACAGAACAGTAATACTCACCGAATGTTAAAACCAAACCACAGACCTTCATTGCCACCTTTCGAGTTTTCACCTGTTAAAACAAAAATCTGTTTTAATCTCTTAAAACAAGATTAAGATGCTTGCAAATTCCAATTAGGGGAGCTCAAGCTTTCTTCCTAGAACAAATCTTTTTTTTTTTTTTTTTGACAGGCAGAGTGGACAGTGAGAGAGAGAGAGAGAGAGAGAGAGAGAGAGAAAGGTCTTCCTTTGCAGTTGGTTCACCCTCCAATGGCCGCCGCAGCCGACAAGCTGCAGCCCGCGCACCGCGCTGATCCAATGGCAGGAGACAGGTACTTATCCTGGTCTCCCATGGGGTGCAGGACCCAAGGACTTGGGCCATCCTCCACTGCACTCCCTGGCCACAGCAGAGAGCTGGCCTGGAAGAGGGGCAACCGGGACAGAATCTGGCGCCCCGACCAGGACTAGAACCCGGTGTGCCGGTGCCGCAAGGCGGAGGATTAGCCTAGTGAGCTGCAGCGCCGGCCCCTAGAACAAATCTTTATCCTTAACCTACTTGTCCAATTACCTCAGCTGTGTTTTCAGACGCTTGCTCAACACCAATAAGTCCAACTTAAGGAAAGGGAGAGGGGCTACCCGCCCCCGTTCCTGCTGGTGTTCTTGTCCCCTTCACCCCCAGGCAGAAATATCTGGGCACCAGGAGGCAAGGAGGAGCCTTGCCCCCAGTTCCGGAGGCCTCCCTCCCACCCGCAGGCCCCAGAGCTTTTTCAGCGCCAGGAGAAAGGCCAGCAGCGCCAATTCTTGCTGGAAAAGCACCAGCTGTTTGTGAAACAAAGTACTTCCTGAGACCAAGACAGTCCTTATTAGTGCAGGCGCTGGGGGACGCCCCCAGGCTCTTCCTCTGGAACCTCCCTCCGGGTTATTTTTAGGATTCTTTTCTGCCTAGGGAGCCTGTCCCCAGGGTGATGCCCCTGACTTCATGCCTTCTGCTTGCTCTAGACCCTGTCACAGTCTCAGCCACAGAGCGTTGTGCAGGAGGGTTCAGACTCCAGGCAGATGCTGTGGGTAGAATCCTCAGCCATGTCACCTGTGCCAGCCTGGAGGAGTCCCCTGACATCCCTGGACATTCGTGTCCTCAGGCTGCCATGCTACTCAGAAGTGAGGGGCATGATGGATAGACGGTCTGGCCCAGTGCCTGCAGAGTAAGTCCAAATGTGGGTGTGTGGGTGATAGGTTTACCAGTACTTGCATTCTTCCTGGCCACTGGCTAGATGTACCCTTCTATAGATAACCCTTCATCCACAGAGTATACATTCCAAGACCTCCAGTGGATACATGATACTGTGGATGGTACCACACTCCATATGTGCTTGTTTTCCCATACATATATGTATATATATATGCCTATAATAAGGTTTAGTGTGTAAATTAGGCACAATAGGAGAATGAGAACAACTAATAAAATAGAAAATTTATAATGATATACTGTACTAAAAATTTCACGAATGTAGTGTTTCTCTCTCTCTCTCTCTGTCTCTCTGTCTCTCTGTCTCTCTCTCAATACCTTGAGTCTGGGGCTATTGCTAAGCCTCTGCCTGCGGCGCCAGCATCCCATGTAGGCGCTGGTTTCTGTTCCAACTACTCCGCTTCCAATTCAGCTCCCTGCTAATGGCCTGGGAAGGCAGTGGAAGATGGTCCAATTTTTTGGGCCCTGCACCCACATGGGAGACCCTGGCTCCTGGCTTCGGATTGGCCTAGCTCTGGCCATTGCAGCCATTTGGAGAGTGAACCAGCAAATGGAAGACCTTTTTCTCTGTCTCTCCCTCTCTCTGTAACATATGCTTCATAAAAAGTAAATCTTTTAAAAAATACATTGACTTCTTGCTGTACTGTAGCAATATTTCAGAAAACAGAGAGTGAAACTGTGGATAATGGGGAACTGCCATCCATGATATTGACTCAATCTATTTTCATCAGTTTTTTAATAGAATTGGCCAAAGTCTGGAAAAGGGTGTCTTGCTTGACATTGTCTCACAAAGACCCCCATGACCATGTGATGGGGCCCTGGTTCTTCTCAGCTTGCAGTCTTCATTTATTTTTGCAACAGAGCATCCAAGAAGACAGATACAGTGGTTCTGTCCATGCCCCCAGGTGGCCACTCCTCCCAACAAGCAGTGTGGCTTCACCACCTCATGGGTCTGGGTGGGCCTCATGAGAGAGTATGCGAGTCTTTGGAGGTACATCTTCAAGGGGCTGGCAGCTTCCGCTCGGGCCCCTCTGCCACCAGTGCTTCCTGGTAAAGAAGCTGGACTGGCTTCCTGAGAGATGAGAGACCATCTGGAGAGAGACCAGCCATTAGCCAGCAGAGTTGTCTCAAGCCCTACATGCACCTGAGATTCACAGGACTTCTCGGCTGAGCTGAGCCCAGAATGGAACATCAGTACTGACTGTGGCTTATGGTGGTTTGTTTTGTAGAGATCAATAACTGATACCACCACGCTCCAGGCATGAAGGCCCAGTCACAGTTCCTCAATCAACCCAGCCTTGCTCTTGAAGCTGGGCCTTGACACAGTCTCCATCTTCTCTTTCCAGTTTTCTTCCATATGCCTCACTCTCTGCTCTTTCTGAGATGTTTGTTCAAAAGTCCCTTTTCCGGTGAGGTCTTCCTTGACCCTCTAAACTCAGACCCTTCCCCTGAAAATGTCATCTGCCTTCCTTGCAGTGTTGCCTCCATCTATCTAACAGAGGAAGCATTTCAGCTCTCTGTGTGCCTGCCTCACTCAGGAGAGCTCCAACTGGGCAGTTGGCTTGGTCCTAGAACACTATCAAGCATGCTAAGCTATATTAGCTCAGGAAAGCCTCCTTGCTGGAATAAAGAGATTCAACAGCAATCTAGTGGCTCATTATGGGTAAGCAGTTACATCTTTCAAATCCAAAGTAAGCTGTCCAGGCCAGTAAATGGGTCCTTCTTCGAGAGCCTTTGGAGACCAGAGTTCCTCCATCTGAACTCTCCACTGCTATCTACATGATTGAGTCCAAAGGCAGGAATTTCTTTTGTCTCAGTCCTCAGGAAGGGAAAGTCAACTGTGGATATCACAAGTCAGACTTGGAAAGGCACAGAACCCTTCTGTTCCACAAGGCAGCCACGTGCCCAGCCACAAGCCTCAATGGTGAGGAGGAGACAAGACTGGGCCAGGAGTCCATTCCACAAGGGTAGCTTTTCCGAAAATTGTTCTTATGGAGCTTGAACTGAAGCAGTTGACACTGGAACATGATGAAAAGGAGAAAGAAAAGATAGGAATGTGTCTTGGTTTCTGAAGCTCCTCAGCTTGAGCTGAGAGACATGAGGCTTAGCTGATGGGATCCACCAGAAGTCATCAGAGAGAAACAATCACCCAATCTCACCCAGAGAAACGAGGGCACCGGAGAGTGTGCCCTGCTCATCGGCCCAGCACTCTGCACCTCCATAGCTGGTTGGAGGGCGAATCAATTGGCCATTGCGATCACTGGCTCTTCTCCCTAGGGAGGTAGAAAATATCTTCAGAAGATATGGTTGGGAATTAAATCATATGATTAAGTCAAATGACTATGAGAGAAGACTGGAGTCCCGAGGCAGTATAAATATTAGAGATATGGGGAGGCACCAAGCAACCAGTGTAGGGTGCATTTTGTTTCTTGGAAATACCCATTTCTCCAGAAGAACAAATTGTCCCCTGATATGGCCATCATACTTCTCCCCATGTGGTGGTGAGAAGCAAAATAAATGTAGGACCATCACAGAGGTAAACACGTGGATTATTTTACAGCTTGTTTTCCGTAAATGTAAATACAGCCACTACACTTAGCTGGTGAACTAACACAGGCCAGAGATCTGTGCGCCAAGGAGGGAAAAGTCACAGGGAATACTACATCCAAACCATTCTGCCCCAAAGATGGCCCAAGAAACAGAGATGGCCTGGAGAGGGTGAGCACTGGCCAAGTCTGGCCTACCGTCTACATTGAAATAGGCCCCACAGTCCTGTTGCAACAAGGGAGTGCTGGCAGCCTCACCAGAGCCAGCTGGGGTAAGATTCACCGCATGGAGACCATGTAGCTTACATTTCCTTGCAGTGGTTCACACGCAGAACAACTTAGCAATTGTTAACAGGATAACCCCCAAAGCATTTCAAAATGTATCTGTTTGTACAAAACTCGCAATTTTACTACTAGAGCTGGTATTATTTTTAAAGCAAAGATGTAGGAGACCTTATGCAAAGCCCAAAATGGAGAATGGGAGTACTTTAACTGTGTGCTGTTGTTCCTGGCATCATAAAGGGCTTTTATAAGCCATTTACCCTCTGTTTTATGATTGTCCATTGTTCAAAGCTTTGCTAGTAAAAAGCAAACACCAAAATGAACTAATTTTTTATCTAAATAAGGAGTAACTTGATTTACTATTACCTGGTTATATTGATTAATACACACACAACTACAAAAATAGCTTTTCATATACATATGATAGACATCAACAAAAATAACTTTTCATATACATATGATAGACATCAACAATTCAAACAAGAGACTTTGAAATACACTTTTTTGATTCTTATTTTTTAAATTTTATTTGAAAGGCTGTTAGGTGAAATAAACTTTGAAAAACTTGAAATCAAGAACAAGAACAATTGTAGGTTTTAATCAATGTAAAACACTTTTACTACCCTGGCTCAGGTTTTGTTTAAACACATAGCTCTCTGACCACTAAAAGGAGAAAAGTTTAAAGTTCTCTGATTGAGTTTGAAATTACAGAATTCCCCAATTAGCTGACAGCAGCACAGTCCAATCACTGAGAAACTCTTTAATGAGGAGCCAATGGATGCCCGCAAGTAGACACTTATTGAATCACTCTCTTTCTAGTGAGGTCTACAAGTCTCTAATCTCTCAAGTACCTGCTAGTCCCAAAACAATCCCTAAACTTATGAATACTCAGACTTCCCAACCTCAACAGTCAGTTTCTTAAATGCGTTATCTGTGGTCACGTGGAGAAAACCAACCAGTTAATGCCCATGCAATGATGAAGCAATCCTGTCACTTAACCATTGATTCAGCCTTCTCCCCTAAACCATCCACAAAAATGCTTGTGAACAATGCTTTCTAAAATCAGCATTCGTCACACATTGTTTCCTAGGACCACGGGTCTGAGTTGAATGGCCTGCTTCAGAGGAATACAAAAGACACATCAGTTGTGAAGTTTTATTGACACAGAGTCAATTGATGCACATTTTCCACACACCATATAGTTGGGGGAAAGAAGCAGAAACAGCATCAGTAGTCACGTGGATGCAATCAGACTTTTAATAAGAGATAGTTAGATTTGCCAAACTGAAAAGTTGACCTCAATCAGAAATTGATTTTACTAGGGATGAATGAAGAAGAAGAGAAAAAATGTATTTGGCTCAACCTAAAAAAATAATGTCATCGTGTAGGCCCTGCAAAAAATCAATATTTTATTGAAGAATCTCTTGGTTTAACTCTCCATTGTAGCTGAACCTTGTGTATGGCTACGCTAAAATAGAGGACAAATAACGCTGTTTTGATTCATTGTAAATTCACTGGGTAATGTGGAAGGGAAAGTGAGGCTAAGGGATCCTGAGGCTGAGCTGCTGCTGGAGCTTAAGCAGCAGGATGATGAGCAGCCAGAAAATTGGAGGAAACTAATTATCTACAAGTTCAAACCAAACACTGACATGTCAAATGATGTCATGATCACTAGAGCTCGAGTTGGGACTTTTTATTGTTTAGCATGATATATCTTTAGTACAGGACATGATATCACCTTACAGAACACAATGCGGCTGGAGGTAGGCAGATGCTCAAAAACAATAGAAATGAAAAAAATAAGAAAACTGATTTACAAAGTTTCAAGGACATCATTCAAAAGAACACTTGAAAGTAAGGTTCAAAAAAAAAATAAGAGAATTTAAGTGCTTTTTAGAAACATCAAGATGATTCTTCTTGTCAGGAAGTGAACACTTCTTCTCCCAAGACAGGAAGGAGGGTGCATGTGGTTGGCAGGAGGGAAGACAGAGGCTTTAGGCGCTTCCTGTGGGGTGGCTTCCATTTCCTGTGTGAAGATGGAGGGCTGGCACTTCCAGAGCGCTAGGAGGAACAAATGAGACAGCAGCAGGAAAAAGTCTTGAGCGAATTTCCCCTGATGTCAGCCATTCAATTGCAATTAGGGCTTTTGTTTAAGTTTATGGAGGCAGGGTCTCAAAGTAAAATACTCGCCTGTATGTAGACAGTCGTGATTGTCTCAGTCCTTTTCGGCTGCTATAACAAACAGCACAAACTGGGAAACTCAGATGACAAACGGTTGTTATTCAAGTGCTGGAGCATGGGACGCCCAAGATCAGTCATGTTGCATCCAGTGACTGGCGAGAGCCTCTTCCTGCTGCATGGCTGGCCACCTTCCTGCTGTGGAAGAAGTCGTGAGGGAGCTCTCAGAGTCAGAATTCCAACGTTTAATTCTAGGGGAACACGAGCATTCAGTGCATGGGTATCCTAAGATGAGTATTCTGATTAAGTGGAGGAAGTAACGGCACAGCCTTCATTGATTTGCTTTCAGAATGCCATGAGCGCTGCAGTTAATATTCCTCTGTTAAATACATTTGTGGATTAATTGAATTGCTCTTAACTAGACTAATCCTGACAAAAAGACAAAGACATGGGCACCATTCCACCTCAGAAATCCTGAGTTGAGGGCAACACTTACACTCAAAGTCCAAATCAAGAGCAAGAGCATGGCAAAGCTGTCCCCCCGCCCCCCCCCCAAGCTCACTTTCCACAATGCTAAGTGAGATCCCCAATGGTCAGATATGTAAACCACTGCCGCAAGAAACACAAATTTTTCAGAAAGACTATTTAATTTATGAGAGCACAAATGAGACATTGCAGAGGAAACTTGCCCTAAGTGTGCGCAGAGACTTAAACTAATTATAGCATTAGCAAGACAATTAAAAACAAGTATCTGGAATATGGAAAGAAATCTTTACAACTTTTGAAAGATATTTAAAGTTATGAATACTCAATATTAGTGCTGCTTACAAAGTCTTCATTAGCATAACTAGTCTACTTCGGGATGTCTCAATGCTAAAAGGGGGGGGACAGCAAATAGCTTTCAGAAGTCACTCGTTCTTCCCACTAGTGCAAGCATTGTTGAAATAATGCACAGAAATTGTACAAGTTATTCATCAGCAGGTACCACTAAAGATTCACATAAAACAGTTATGTTTTAATGCTATCCTCAAAACAGATAGTGAATTCTATTACCTACTTGAGAGATTTGCTACACTATTCCACTGTATAGAGAAAGGTCAGTCCAGCTAGGTGCACTGTGACATACAACTTGCAAACTCCTGTGCTGGAAAGAAAAGAAGACCTTTTCTTACTAACTCATTGCAGGTCCATTCAGGATACTCCTAAGCAGCTGCCCCTGCAAATTAACCTTGGGCCCAGGCTGCTACCGTTGTTCCCACACCATAGAGCATCTTGCATTCCCTTTGCTTCTAGCTGCACCAGGGAGGGAAATCAAGGCAGAAGATCAGAGATACGATGTGGCCAGGCATGGGTGAGGGTTCTCTCACTCCTGCCCATACTTCAGTGGCCAGCACCTGTTAGATTGTCCCAACTTAATGCAAAGGACTCCCATGCCTACAAGAAAAACTATAGATGTGAATCAAGCTGTCACCATAAATTTCCAACATGAGCGCAAAGGTTTTGCTTAATTCTGTTTCAGGATGGACGTTTTGTGGATATCTAAAGGGCAGATATGTGAAAGAAATTATACTCAAATGTGAAAGGAAATAGTAAATAAAAGCAACATTTTACTTAAAAACTGTTAAGTTTTAACCAGAATGAAAACAAAACAAAAATATCGGGGAAAGGCACTAGAGAGAGCACCACAATCATATAAATCTTTCGCACAATTCATAGGTAAAGTGCTCCAGTAAGGAAGTTAAATTCAAAGAGAACTAAGTCAGTTATGTAGTCAGGTTACAAACATAAGAGCTTTAAAATGTTGTGCAATCTTAACAATAACTCATAATGAGAGAGGTATGATTATGTGCCTTTATCTGTCACACTGATTTTACCAATCATTGGATGCCAGAGTTCAACAAAACCAAAGAAAAGAAATAAATGAAACACTAAGTTGAGAGAAGAAGAGGTAGAGTCATCCCCATTCCTAAGCAACACGATTGACTCCTAAGGGGTTTACTAAGCAATTAAACTAAGTGCAGAATATTTAGCAAGTTCACAAAACACAAGATCAACAAACAAAGATCAATTGTATTTCTAGGTCCTGGTAACAAGTAACTGGAAATGATTTCTAACTTCCTAAAGTGTAATTTTCTTAAAAAAAAAAAAAGAACTACATATATGATAGAAGCAAAAACATAAGACACTGAGGCATCAGTTTTTTAAAGTGCAAAATATTATGGAGAGAATTAAAGAAGACTAACACAAAAGGACTATCCCAGGCATATGCTCCATAAAATTCAATATTTTTATGGTCTCAGTTTCCTTAAAATTAGCCAATAGATTTGACGCTATCTCAATCATAACTACAGCAGGTTTTTCACATAAAAATTGACAAATTGACTCCACAAATGATTTTGAAATGAAAGTACACTCAATCACATTACTCACTAAGGAATAATTTTTAGTGAGATCAACAATAACATTTAAACTTTTTATTTCTAGCTTGTCATATTTCCACGTGTATATTTTATGATGTACAAACACATTAATATAAAATAAATGTCTATGAACATGCATAAGTATCTGAAGAATATATTTGGAAGTGTGGGCACTTTGTTTCTCAAAGGGATGTCAAGGAAACCATAAAAGTGTGGAGACCCAGAACAATTTTAAATGCTGAAAAGTATATTAAGGCAGCTTTTCATGAGACTATCATAAATTAGAGAATTATTATTATTCCATTACAACTTCCAAAAACCTCAGGCTTCAAGCACCTAACATGTAGTTCTCCTTTTTAAAACATAATGGGAATTTGCTTCTGGCTCAAGTGGAATAACAGGGATCAGATGTGCCCTCCTGACTGACTTAAATGAGCAGAAAAGCAGGCAAAATGCATCCAAAATGCTTCAGGCTTTGGACAGGAAACAGCAGAGGATACTGGTTCCAGGGAGAAGGCAAGCAAACGGCTGAGCCCTACTATGGTCACAGCTCACTCCTTAGCGATAGTTCCCTGGCCAGAGTGCAAGGGCAGGCAGGGCTCTCTGTGAGTCGAGCCACAGATTGACTCAGTGGAGCCCAGGATGGCTGGAAGTTGGGAAAAGCACTGCAGATAAGTAGGTCACTTTGGTTTTTGTCTGACTCTTGATCTGTACAAGCAGGATAGTGAATTATCCAGGACTGTGAAAACAAGTATCAAAAAAAGACAGTAAGGGGCCAGTGCTGTGGTGCAGTGGGTGAACGCCCTAGCCTGAAACACTGGCATCCCATATAGGTGCCGGTTCAAGACCCGGCTGCTCCACTTCCTGTCCAGCTCTCTGCTATGGCCCGGGAAAGTAGTGGAAGATGGCCCAAGTCCTTGGGTCCTGCACCCACATGGGAGACCTGGAAGAAGCTCCTGGCTCCTGGCTTCAGATCAGCGCAGCTCTGGCCATTGCGGCTATTTGGGGAGTGAACCATCGGATGGAAAACACCTCTCTCTCTCTCTCTCTCTCTGCCTCTCCTCTCTCTGTGTAATTCTGACTTTCAAATAAATAAATAAATCTTTTTTTAAAAAAAAGGCAGCAAAAGCAGAGCTCATGCAAGGTTAAGAATACTTCATGGTCTCACAAGTCTGACCACCTCACCAAATGAACTTTAACTGGGGCATCAGCTGGAGTCCTTGCAGCAGCATCACCTTGCAGTGGCAGAATATTTGCTCTAGAAAAGAACCGCCTTGGATTTATTCCAGCAAGGTATCAAAGAAAGCAACAAAGAATCCAACAGATTCCAAGTAACATAGCTGGGTACAAGAACAAAATCCAACTCCATTTAAAATAACAGAAAAAGCCAGCATAAAAACAACAAAAGATTCACAACAGTTAGCATCTACTCAAATTGACTGGAAATGAAAATAAAAACATAACATAGCGGTTACGGGAGGCACATTTATTTTGAACTTAGAGGGCAACCTAGAATATTAAAATCTAGCATAGAAAAAAGGAAATATCTCTTATCAATATTTAAGTTTCACCAAGAAAACTAGAAAAATAAGAGCAGAGTAGATCCTTATTAAGAAGGAAGAATGAAACCAGAGTTGGAAGCCTAAATTACTGGAACAGAAAATAAAAAGACAATAGAGGAAATCAAAGAAACCAAATGTTAGTTCTTTGAAAAAGTTAATGGAAATGATAAACCTCTAAGAAGAGTGACTGTGAAGAAAGAGACACAGATTATAACTAATACAGATTAAAAAGGAGACATCACTATAGATCCTACATTCATTAAAAGGGCATTATTGCTATGTTATGAACAACTTTATGCCAATAAGCTTTACATCTTATATGAAATGGACAAATTGCTTAACACACTCAAACTACCAAAGCTCATTGAGAATGAAACAAATAGCCTGAAGTATCCTACATCTGTGTGTTAAAAATTGAAGTTTTGGATTAAAATCCTCCCTATAAGAAAACTTTGCAATCAAATTTTGTCAACCACATAAGGAAAAAATCATTCCAGTGCTACATAAGCATTTACAATAAATAGAAATCAAAGGAACACTTCTAAAATCATCTTATGATTTATCACCATCAACATGATACTAAAGCCTACTATGTTAAAAGAAAACCAAACTGTAAACTGTACTTCTCAAGGAGACAGGTGCAAATATTAACAAAAATATAGCAAAACTATAAGCAGGTGTTTAGCCTAGTAGATAAGATGCCCGTGTCTCCTATCAGAGCACCTGGGGTTGATTCCTGGCTCTGACTCCAGACTCCAACTTTCTGCTAATACAGACTCTGTTATGCGGCAGTGAGGTCAGGTAATTGGGTCCCTGCCACCCGCATGGGATTGAATCACTGGCTTCCAGCTTTGGTCCCCGTCACTGAGGGCCTCTGAGTAGTGAAACAGCAGATTGGATAAATCTGTATGTGTGTGTGTGTGTGGATGTGAGTGTGTGTGTGTGTGTGTGTGTGTGTCTCACTCTCTCAATTCTCTGGCTTTCTAACTCTCCAATAAGTAAAAATTTGCTGCATATATATTTTTAATTGAACACAAGAATGTATAAACAGGATAACACATTATGACCAAGTATTTAGTTTAGTAATACAATATTGTTTTTACATTCAAAAATTAATCAATGTAATATTTTATATCAGCAGACAAAAAGAGAAAAGACTTATGATCATTTCAACCCATATAGAAAAAAACATGGAAAATTTACCATTTGTTCATGA